ATACTCCATTTTTACGTCTCTTACCAGTTGGAATTTTATTCAATTTTTGGCAAGCAAGACACTTGATTTGAAGCATTCTGCCTATTCATAATAAGAAGAAAATAATTCATATCTTACAAGTATTTTGACAAATTCATGTATTTTAATGTAGCTGCAGATCTGTAGCCTTCCAAAAATTATATATTGATATCTATTGCTCGCAAAAACATAGAGAAATAAATCGAGAAGCGAGCACACTTTTTTGTGTGTAATAAATATACTTTTTTTTCAATGGGTGGCACTGTAGTTCTCCGGTCTATCGATATATTTTTTTCAGAGAGATTCAGATCTGCAGCTAATTTTAATGTAATGATATTGAAAATGTCACTCTTTATTTTATTTCACATTACCTATATCTGCATTTCCATGCACATCCGATTTTCTATTTTTTTAACGAAGCATCATAGATAACACAGATAAAGTATAATCACAACCGTTTAATGTTCGATGTAGATTCAAATATAGGGATATGAAATTCTTCCCTCATTAAAAATTTATAAATCACTACGATTATTTCAAAATAAAACCTAAAATAATAATAGTTAAGATATTTCTATTTTTGACGTTGTGGTATTCCATCCCCAAAATTATATATACAATTTTATTCATGTACGCTCTTAAAAACTTAGACTACTATCTATACATTGAATCGAAAAATTCCTCGACACACAACAACTTCAACCGATTCATTATTGGTTTTCAAATATCTCATGTCTTTTGAAAACAATTTTAATTTGCGTCGTAGTGTGATGAATGAAATCTAGTTTCTTCAAGTCATGTCCAAAAATACCTTCTTTTTTTAATACATTTTATTTCCATTTTAGTCTTGTAGAATTATTTTCATTATGGCTATTTATAAAATGAATATCAATACATTCAGAGTTGAGTCAAAATTTGACCGTGAAACTTGAACACAATCAATCGTATTCCATATAACCTCATTATATTTTACTGAAGTATCTAGTATACTTGGATATTAATCATTAAACCAAAAAAGAGAGTCAACAATATAAAATAACTTACTAAACTGTTTGTATATAAAATTAATCCTGAGCTTTTTCCTTTCTATCTTTCATTTAATAACGAAAAAATGAAATAATTTCATTAACAAGCAGTAGGCTTTTGTATTTTTGATTGATAGTATTTAACATACATCTATCTTAAATTTAGTGGTTTTATCTAAAGTTTTTATTGTTTTACATGTGAAGCTGAGTGTATTGCAAAGGGAATCTGTAAAAATTAAGCTGAATAATAATCTCCCGACCTAATTTAACTTAGTTGTGAAATCATATCCAAATCAGTTTTTTAGGGTTTGTTTTAAGCATATATGTATGTGTACAATTAAATATATTCATACAGTATACCAAAGCCTGCTTTAGATTCTAGCTAATCCCTCATAGTCATAATCGAAATCATTTATCGAAGTAGTACATGTATTCTGTGTGTTTAAATGTATTCAAAACGTTTTCATTATAAATAACTTAAGTATTATCGAAAATACTTATCTTTTACTTCAATGAGCATCATGTACTCTCTGCTTATGCATGTAAAAGTCTGTTGAACTGTTCAGGCGATTCTGGACCTTTGTCTTCCGATGAGCAGTGGAAAATTCTAAGAAGATAGAGACATAGATGAAAAAAACTTATCGAAGAGGTATCTTGTCTGTGTTTCCTTACATTGTGTACTTTTATTTTTACAATAATAAATGGTTGATAAATTAATGCCGCGTTCAAAAACTTGAACTTAAATTATCACAAAAAACTGAAAACATTGTTTTCAAACTTATCTCTTGCTTTAATGGCCCTTTTTTACTCTGTTTATGACTGTGAAATCTCCTTTGACTGTTGATGTAACGATTGCTGGACTTCCCGTCTTTTATTGAGTCGTGAAAAGTCATAACTTCAAGTATACATGTACGTGTCTCGGGGTTGAGGATTCTCGGTCTGCATGCGTTAATCTGGATACTTTACCACGGGAAATGTGGTTAATAAAACGTCACTGTACTTTCGATGGTAAACTGAATGTTTGAAGAGAATAGCTGTCTTTGTTGAATGCAATACTTTGTAGACTGGTCACTGGTTGTAGAATCTACTTTCTAAACAGGGATGGGCTTGTCTCCTTACAATTTTTGTCATTAGGAAGTATACGTCTGAATGTCGCAAAGCAAAGCCTTCGAATGAGTTAAAATCGTGATTAAAGTGAATACCTGTTCTACAGGTATCGACAGGTATCGACCTTTAAATACTGACCAATAGCTACTGTCGCTTTTATAAGCACATAATAAACAAAAGCACGTGTTCCTAGTACATATGATAAATTAATGTATATTGCTGCATAAGTAAGGGAAGTTGACGATAGAAAAGTTAAAGTCATCACGTTTATCATATAGCTTGGTTGTTAGATTACCATTTGTGTCTTTTTCAAGTAAAATATCCAAGTATAAAGCAGAAGTGTCGGACTCTGTGGTATTTTTTATCTCAAGCTCACCAGGATATATCGTGTCAACGTAGGAATGGAAATTATCATTATTTATTGACAATTTGTCTGATATAGATTCAATAATTGGAAGAGAATTGTTATCACTCTCAGAATCAGACGATATAATAATCTGGTGTTTAGCCTTTCTGGTAGGCATACGAAGTGGTTCAACTTTAAATGGTTATTTCTCTGGGGATGACAAAATTTCAATAATTTCATCAACATCTTCTTCTAACTTCTCTTACCTTCTTTTTGGAACCTTTCTCTTTTGATGATTTTTTTTTCAAGACACTAGGGGACTTTTCTTCTTTGCTTTCCCCCGAAGAATCCGATGATATTGTGGTATACCATAAACCCATCCATTGTGGACGAATTTCCACCCTTCCAGGATTGTATTCCTCAACTTCCTCACTTACATTTTCTTCTTCTATGTCTATGAAAGTTGAAATTCAAATTCATACTCATATCTTTGATTTCAAAGGAGAAAAGAAGTCTCATTTCTTATTAAATCTTTAAAATATTATATCATCTTACCTTTCACTGCTTCTGCATAAGACTTTTTCAAGAAGATTTTCTTTGACATTGTGATAGTAAAACGCAAATCTATTTCTTTGAATTTTCGATGCCTTAAGGATGAAAGTTTTCTGGACTTCTCCAACCTCCATATTTATCAGAACAGAAAGATTTTGCAAAAGTGTATCAGATACAGAATTCAGTTTAACCAAAGGTTTCATTATGTAACACTGTTCTCCAATTTCAAGATTGCTGTTTTTACGGCATTTCTCACAGACATGATTTCTTTTAGAAGATCTTTCGGCTTTCCAGCTTGAAGCAGTTTGATTTCATTTTGTAGAATTTTTTCGCTGTGGACTGCCCAATAAACTTCACCACTTACATTTCCTTTTCCATGTACTGCTTTGGAAATCTCTCCATTAAAAGATTGAAAAGCAAAACATGAATAAACCCAGAGTGGTCCCCAGTTATCCACACAATCCACTGATGTTATGCACATTTAGGCCACAGACAGCATCCCCATACAGGGTTGCCATGCATTTGTAAAACATTTCCAAAAGCATCCTTGCCCTAGAGAGATAAAATGTTTTAATCTTCTCTTGAAAAAGAAAAAATGTTCTTTCAACAAAACAAGGGAAATGCTCCAAATATGCATCCGACAGTTGTTCTTTTAAGCAGGGTAGCCCATAATAGATGAGAAAAGATCGGAACTCAGATGCTTTCCAGTGATTGAGATTGTTTTGAATTTTTCTTGGAATACGATGGATCAGATAGGGAACTTTGATACTTTGTAAAATTTTATCAATGAAGTAAGGCTACTGATAATTGGCTCCGTCTATCCACATGCTTAATATCTTTGTTTGTTTTTCACAGAAGAAAGCCATGCATGTGGTCTATGGTATAATTTTCTTGAAATTCCATCCATGGAACTTCCATAAAATCCGTAGGCAGCTTTTTTTGATTGTATGGCTTCATGAACATTTGCTTCAATTGATAATCTTGTCCGCAGTTGAGGTTTAGTCTCACGAAATGGAAAGCTGCAGGTATGGCCCTTTCCACCACAACCCCTGGCTCTTCACAATAAAGGCAAGCACACAAGCCATTATGTTGCATCATGTTAAAAACGCATGCTCTTGCTTGAAGATCCATAGTCATGGCGTTTATTATAGCGTGAACTGTCTGTTTCCCAGATGGAGTTTCTACTTGCATTCCAGTGTTGTATTACATTCTCATTTCATTGACAAATGGAAAAAAGAAAGTATTCATCAAAGGTTTGCCTTGTCCTTGCCAGAGTCCCCATGAAATCATGTTTTTCTTCAAAAACCTTGATTGTGGATTGAGTTCATTGATGACAAGGTACACTGGACATATTGAGACTTTTGATGATTTAAATGAGGAAACTCCATCGGTAAAAATAGTTAATGTGACAGTCGTGTTCTTACACTTTTTCTTAATTTCTTTGTACTTTTTGCCATCTGTTATGTCATGAATTTCCTCACTATCATTAGATCTTTGAAATGAGGACAAAACTTCATCATTATTTCTTAATTTTCAAGTATCTCTTTCAGCTGTAAGTATAAATCTCCTCTAACGAAGCAGTTTTTTCTTCTTCCTGTCGCATCAGAATCACTTGATCTTGATCCAGTGCAGGATGTTTTTTCACATTTTACTATACCTCTATCTTCGGGGTATATAGCACCGCATACATCACAGTTCTCATGATATGTGAAGTAGTTTCCACCAAATCCTATTTCTCCTTGACTTTATTGACGCTGGTCTCACACATTTTTTTTTCAGGGAGATGGACATTTATCAGCTTAGGTTGTTGTTGAAATGCTCTGCGGGACAAATGGTTTTTTGTTTAGCATCTTCCTCACTGTTCTTTAAAAATTTTGGTCCGTTCAACCACATACTGCCCTGAAGTTTTGAAGATGGAACACTGAGCGTGTAGCTAGTTCAGTTTGGTAATGTTAAGTGTTCACGTAACTCCAATCAGATGGGGTTGAGAGACTTCTAATTTGGTCCACTCGATTTGAGAAGAACGTGTAGAAGCGTCTGGTGGTATTGTTGATGTAGCCTAGAACCACTTGGCTATCTGTGTAATAATTGACACTGTCTGGCCTAATATCAAGGGATTCTTGAACAGTTCCGTGAAATTCTACAGCCATCACAGCTGTGCATAACTCCAATCTGGGTAGAGAATGTCCCTTCAAGGGAGCTAACTTTGCCTTTCCAAACAAGAATCCAATATTCACTTTGTTGTCTGAGAAATAAGTTTTCAAATAGACAACAGCTCCAATAGCCTTTTCCGAGGCGTCGGATAATATGTGAAAACTTGTTTTGGTACGTTCAAGTAACTGAGAAGTGTAGCTTCTGTGAATCTTTAACATCCTTCAATGAGTGTAAGGAACTGGTCCACTCACTCAACTGATTCGAGTACTCCTTGGGAAGTTACTTATATCAGCCAGTAGGTCCTTGTGAAATCTCTCTTAGAGGCATTTTTCCTTTGATCTTCACTGGTGCGATGAAACCAATCGGGTCAAATATGCTGTTGATCACTGCCAAAATACCTCTTTTTGTAAACGGTTTTGTCTTTAAAGGTATATTGAACACGAAACTTATTTATAATTACATAGTCCTAGGAATGATCTTAGTTCCTTTTGGTTCTTTGGAGTAGGAAAAGATTGAACAGCGTCTTTTTTGACAATTCCACTTTTATGCCATCTTCCGTCAAAATATAAACAAGGTATTTCACTTCTGGTAGTGCAAAATAGCATTTGCTGGGTTTAAGTGTTAGCCTGGCTGATTGGAGGCGACTGAAGATTTCATCTAGGTGTTTTAAATGATCTGTGAAGGAATTGAAAAAGACGAGGATGTCGTCCACATAAACGAGGCAAGTTTTCCAATGAAATCCACGAAGAACATGGGTCATCAGTGCCTGGAAGCTGGCAGGTGCATTTACTAAACCGAATGGCATTCTCTTCCATTGGTACACACCAGTAGGGGTAACAAATGCTGACTTATGTTTAGTCTCATCATCCATGGGTATTTGCCAGAATCCTGAAGCAAGGTCCAATGTTGAGAAAAATTTGGCTTGTGTAGTACCAATTGTGTCAAACACATCCTCTAGTCTAGGCAAGGGGAAAGTGAACTGCCTGGTGACAGCGTTGAGTTTACGGTAATCCACAGCAAACCTAGCTGGCCATTTTTCTTCTTCACCATTACTACAGGGCTCTACCACATGGAGTCTGATTCTTCAATAATATCTGAATCTAACATTTTTTGTAGTTGGCTTGACCTAGTTCTTGAAGATTTATCTGTGTTTGTTTAAGAATGTTAAGAGTAACTGTTTCTGATCATCTCTAAGGTCGGCATGGACTAGGTTGATGTTGACTGGTTCTTGAACAGTATTTCCTGTTGACACTTTCTTTTCATTTGGGGTCATACCTAAGACGTAAACAAAGGTAGTGACTGTTCCTTCGCCAAGCGCTCGGCACTAGAAGTGAAAGTCACGGGTCTTTCGGATATGACCTTAAAAACGTAGGTCCCGTGTCACGGTAGGCGTTGGCACGATAAAGAACCCTCACTGCTCAATGGCCCTGAGTGCAAAGTATAGGTCTAAATTTGAAGCCCTTCACCGGCATCGGTGACGTCTCCATATGAGTGAAAAATTCTCAAGAGGGACGTTAAACAATATACAATCAATCAATCAATCATTCGGGGTATCCATGGTGAACACTTTGTCAGGGTCAACAATCGTTGCAGTTGCAATCACAGTATTTGCTTTGAGTCTGATGGTTTTGTTAGTTGGATTCATAATTTGAATGAAGATTTTGTTGTTTTTAGTGTCCACAATTGACTTTGCTCCAGCGAGTTTCAGGGATGGTAGTTTTGCAATGGGTTCAAATAGTACACAGGAATTTTTAGACACATTTGACACAGATACTTGCACTACTGGACGAAAAAAGTGCTGAGAATCCCAAATTTTACTGATAATGTCTGATAATTACTGATACGGTGCTGTTCTTGCTGATAATTACTGATATTTACTGTTATTATTACTGTTGTTGCTGATAATTTTAGTTGTTGCTGATAAATACTGATAATTACTGTCGTCTTTTACTGTGGAGTCTGATAAATACTGATAAATACTGTTGAGGTACTGTCGCTGCTGAGAATTGCTGATAATTACTGTTGAGGTACTGTCGATGCTGAGATTTACTGATAATTACTGTGGTCATTGTTTTTAACCTGGGAATGGATTAAAATAGCCTGAGAAATGATTATTTGTTTTTTTAAAAAAGTATTTTAACAAATTCATTACAGCCAATTACAAAATAAATTATTCTAAATAAAAAAGTCACATTTTATTAATTTGTTTTCAGTTTTCATATATTAATTTCATTATAATAATTTTTGACCATAATGTTAACATAAGCTTTCATGAATGTTTATCTTTTTTCTTTAAATTTCTCCTTACACGTAGATGACATTATCTGAGGAAAATTATTTTGTTGTATTTGCAGTGGTTTTTCTTCCCAAGTACTTTTTTAAAAAGTTTGATTTTTGTTCAAAAAAAATCTCATCTCATATTTTTTTCTCACATGTATGTGTACTGTCATCAAAAGCTTTTTGTGGGTTTCTTTAATACTTCAATACAGTCAATGGTTTTAAATATCAATTTATATTACCGTGTGGTGAACTGAAAATGCATGAGCACATTAAGTTGAACCCCCCCCTCCCCTTTTCCAATTACTTTTAAATTAAGCTCTCATTTTAACAAGACAGTATTAAATATTTTTCATAAAATCTAGTCTTGAAGCGTACACTTTGTTATTTTATAGAAGAATGTGACAGGGTTAAATAATTAAATTGAAGCATCTTTAATTATTTTTTTTATATATTATGTAGACAACGCGCTCTAGTTCTCCGCTGTCCTACCTGCGAATTTTATATCGTATCGCTTTCTAGCTTTCTCTCTCTCTCTCTCAATCTCTTTTAAATTATTTGTTAAGGCTTAAGGATTGTACACTACATGACGTAAATCTTATGCAGAGTGATTTTCAGTCAATGAAATATACGCCTTTCTTTAGGCTAATTCTTTTGTCATTGTATACAGTTTTAAGTCTATGGGCATATGGCTTCTAATATTATGCGCCACTCCTTAAACATGTTATATGCGGTCAGTCAGTTAAAAAACTAAATAAAATAAATCATAACTTGAATAAACTTTTTCCATTAATGCAAACTTTGTGCTTGTTGTTATTGAACATACATGTCAACCACGTGTAAAAGTTCTACTTTCGTTTTAGAATCGGGTCAATTATTAGTACATTCTGCCATAGGGATATCGTTACGGCTTGCGTTTTTGTAAAATTAATATTTTGTGCAGTGATTATAATTTTTTTTAATTCCATTTTTCTCCGAGACCTTTGTATAAACGAACAGTACAGACTTGGTGCTTATTTATGTGATTTATCTTGATAGTAGCACAAAAGGAGGGGGTTAAATACTGTTTACAATTAAGTGATAGCCGATAGGGCAAGGTCTGTTCTTTAGTTGTATGTTTTAAAACAATGAAAGTTATGATATTATACTTATCGAATTTTTTATATGCATGAATAAAATTATTTTAGAGAATCAATTGCAATGAACCATGCAAATTTCAGAACTGAAGTAATTATAATATTTATTCATGAGTGCGATACATAACGTCATGTTTCTGACATTCAAAATCCATACATTTAAGTTTTTTTTTTCTCGGATTAAGCGAAGTAGAGTTTCCCTGCATCTGAATTGGGAACAATTCATGCTAATATTAATTCAAAAAAGTGCTTCACTAAACAATTTTTCTCTTTATATCTATATGATTGTATATTTTGCACACTTTTTTTTATTAAAAAGTGAAGTCAATTTCTCGTCTACGTATTTACCGGTCCCAAACAATCGTTAGCAGAGATTCAGAATTGAAAATACATGTGACCACCTCCCCCGGAATATTCTTTTATCTGATAAACAAAATATACTCCCCGGCCTTAATTCCCTTACTTTGCATTTATAGCAACCTACAAATTTTTTTTGTTTAGTTTCTTATTCACGCATGCCTTTTAGACCTACTGTTATGTTGAAAATCACATACATTTTATATGTTTTTGTGGTCTATGTATACTAAAGTAAAATGGTAAAAAGATTCAAATAAATGATTGATTGATTGAAGAAATATGCGTAAAACTAAAAAAGTGAAATTAAATACTGAAGAAGATAGATCTTTGAGAATTGAAATAATAATGAAAATAAGTCTGTACAACGTACATAATCTTTTTTTTTCATTATAGTACCAAAGTGTTCTATTCTAAATATTTTTTCTATCAATTTTATTCGTCATCAAATTCAATATTATGGAATTTTTTTTCGTGCGACCATAAACATTAAGATTGTTCCAAAGTAGCGAGTACAAGTACAGTGTAGGTCGTTTGTTTATTGAAAACACCGGTAGCCGCAGACGAAGAACAATAGGTAATTAGTGTCCATTGTTACGCTGACCACTACAATTTGCATGGAATATACAAGTTGTACCCCGTTCTACCCCGGGGCTGAAGACATGTACACAATACAGCCAAATCACAGGTCGATCACCGATTTCTGATCAATTGAAATCAATTTAAAGGTGTTTTCCTTTCAACTTTTTACCATGCAAAATTAAAATCGATTAATTTGATCATATACTAATAGTAACATATTAAATTAAGTCTCATTTCAGTTCTTATTTCCCATTCCATAATATCAAATAAAGAAATTAATGAGATTTCAAAACTGATTAAATAAAAAATGATTTTGTATTTAAATTTTAAGACAAACTAAACACATGTACCTTTGTACTAGGGATTCTTAACCTCTAATTTTTAATCAGCTCGCCCCATTTGCCGGTTGCACATGCATACACTGTGTACTTGTACATAATATGTACATGTGGAGGAGTTTAATTCTTGGACGATCTATAAACGTCTACATAACATTAAAATAAATGAATAAATAAATAAATTATTAATTAAAATCAGTGCCCACAGATTGAACATATTCAAACCTGACAGTTTTTCACCTCTTAGTTACTTTTTAAAAGGGATAAAATTTCTAATTTCCGAGCACATTTTCAAATATTTCGACAAAAAGAGGCCAGGAATCTGAACATTTAACAAGATAAATATAATTGTTTTCGAGAAAAAAAGGCCTTCAAAAACAAAATGTTGTCCAAACTCGACCAGTTGACCTAGTGAAAACGGAACAAATCCAACTTTTCTAACCTACAGGAAACTTTTTTATCCCGATTTTTTCCCCATCCATTAAGAACTTTTTTCTTATTATTGAAAAAAAAAGATCACCGATCTCCCTA